AGGGATTAGCGGTACAAACGGTCATAAATTATGTGCGAGACATAAGTATCCAGTAATTGATTAGACAATAGCTATCATAATGTGATAACAAATATATCGCAAAATAAACTGAAAGTCTAATACTGTCGACCCGTGTGTGTGGGGCACAGGTATGGCATAGCGGTGGCTACCGGTGACCGGACAGTGATGGGAGACATCGCGCGGTTGGTGTCGGGCATTAAGAACGAAAATCCTATCGTCCCATTAGTGTCCGATTGTTGTCTCCCATAACGTCCTATGTAATGGTTGTCTATATTTTCTCTTAAAAATTTGCAATTAGGGGAGCCCTTAGCATGGCCAATCCATGGGTCATCACCAACTTCCCAACGGTACACACCTACTTTGCATTCAAAGCATTTCACATAATCACTAATACCGATATAACAAAAACCTGCTTGTGCTAGTTGTTCAATAGGTACAGGGACATTATTGTTCCAATACTTTTTATACGTTTTCAAGCGAACCTCCAATTTGCTAAAATCACGGGCAGAACGAATAGTTACGCCCACATATTGTCCCACATATTGACAAGGTTCAATTCCTATAATTGATGAACATTTTGGGTTAACATGAATACATTTTCCGGAGTGAGTGTCAGACCTGATTCACTCGACCCTATCGTCTCGACTGATAGCGAGTGTTGTCTCCCATAAAGTCTTATATCTTGGTTATCATCGTAGGACTCGTGCACCACTTGCCGGTGGATCTCATTGTCGTTGTCATCCATTATATCCGAGGGATTAACGGATGGGTTCGACGATTGAGTGACTGTCGGCGCCGTTTGCTCTGAATCCGTGTCCGATATGTATGGTGTCGTTGAGATAATTTTGGCAAAAAAATACTCTTTTATTAAATTGTATTCATTTTCATCCATTGACTGAATGTGTGTTTTAAATTTGGTCACCATTTCATTAGTTATACAGATATTATGGGAGAGAATATCTTGAATATTATTTAATACATCCGTTGCCGACATGTCCCACAATTTCTCATTAAAAAATTCTATAATTTTATTAACAATTATTCCCACATTTGATGGAATATTATTCCTAACATTTAAAGCAATTTAGAAATAAAATTCAAATAAGAAATTAAATTAAATTATTTATGATTTAAATTCCTTACTTGTAAAATAAAATATCTCGAAATAAATCAAAGAAAATGTCAACAAATTTATATGGAATGCATTCATTATTATAAATTTGGTGGACTCGTATAAAACTATCGTTCATCATATTATTAGCAATTAACAAATTTCTAAAATCCAATTTCCAAATATTGATGTCTGTGTCTATGGTTTGGTGTAAATACTGAACACATTGTAAGAGTTCTCGCAGTAATTCACACGATATGTAGAAATCTATGCAAATCATGTCAACGGAGGTCTGATCGATGAATATTTCATTTTTACTTTCGATAAATTTCCTGAGAGATTGTGAACACAATTCCGTTTGAATTAATATATAGATATCTTCAATCCATAAATTATAATATTCAATGACAAATTTGGACTTTAAATCAAATGCCTTTCTGATGGCAATTAATAAATCATTCATTTCAAACATATCGTCTAAAAATATAAAATATAAGTAAATGTAAATAAAAATAAAATACAATGTTACCTGGTATTATTCCTATGAACAATGAATACATTTTTTTCGATAATTTATCTTCCACAATATAGTGGGAGTTATATTTAATCTCATTAATTACATTGAATAGCGAAAATCTAACTATGTCATCTAACCAAAAAATTTAATTTATTAAAATATAATAAGATTCATTTAATATTACTAACCTTTATGTGAATTAGCCTGTCGGATAATACAAATTGGGTTTCTTTTCTTGAATTCATTATAGAAGTGGATATATTTCAAGTCAGTTATTGTGTCAAAAAAATATTTACATTCATTTTCATTAATAGTAGAGTCAAACAAAATTCTCAGTAATTTGTCCGAAACGGCATTCACTGAAATCGGTTGACTAATTGCCGTCTCAGTTAGGTTTAAATCCGTGTCAGAAGTGTATGTATTGGTTGAGATAATTTTAGACATAAAATACTCGTTTATTAAATTGTATTCATTTTCATCCATTGACTGAATGTGTGTTTGAAATGTGTTCACCATTTCCTTAGTTATATGGATATTATGGGAGAAAATGTCTAACAATTCATTTATTACATCAGTTGTCAACATTTCCTTCAATTTCTTATTATTTTCCAAATTATTTATAAATCCTTTAATTTTATTGACATTTATTCTCATATTGTTTGAAATATTCCTAAAAATTTATGCAATTTTTAAATATCATTACAATTCATAAATAAATAAATTAAAATTTAATTAAAATTACTTACTTTTTAAAAATTCCTTGAAATATATCACTAATAATTATATCAATATTATATCCATAAAAACCACGTTTACTAGAGACATCATTAAATAATTGATTGACTCGTATTAATCTACCATCCCTCCAATTATTAGTAATACAAATATTTAGAAAATTATATTTCAAGACATTGATATCGGGGTCAATGTTTTGGTGTAAATACTGAACACATTGTAAGAGTTCTCGCAGTAATTCATACGATATGTAGAAATCTATGCAAATCATGTCAACGGAGGTCTCGGTTTCGAAGATTTCATTTTTATTATCGATAAAACCCTCTAGACTTTGTGAATACAACTCCGTTTGAATGAATACATAGTTATCTTCAATCCATGAATTATAACATTTTATCGCAAAATCGGATTTGGAATCCAATGACTTTTTAATGGAAATCAATAATTCTCTCATTTTTATAATATCTGTGAATAGAAATATCGATATTTATCAATATTCAAATCAATATTTTATATAAGTACTGTATTCATGTAACTGTAATTTACCCACAAGTTATTTGGCAATAATTTAGCCTACAGTATATCATTTGAACTACGAGTCGTTTGACCAACAGTACCTCCAAAGTTAAAATCTTTCCCAAATAGCTTTATAACTTAAGTACAATAATCGGCAGTACTATAATGTACTGGTATGAAATAAATTAATGTTTGAGATACCACAATGTCAATCTAACTGTTCCAGAGCAACGGTATATATAATACTATATAATATATCGTTGGAAACAACTGAATGAGTATGTTAAGAATTTCACTTATTTTGCTTGAATCTTTTGCGGGCGAGACTCGTAGCAAAAAAGGGAGAAACATAATAAACAGTCTTGATAATTGCAACACTTATTTTGATAATGATCTCACCTGGTAGTTTTATTTTACACAACGTATATAATTGATCGGATATTTTATCTCTCCCCGTATATCTATCGACAGTATATGATTGGTTAGTATCTGATTCGTAAATACCAAACCTCTCCATATTTATCGCAACATTTTTGGTGAGATCTATAAATGAATTCAGTTTTATTATAGAGCACACAATTGTTTAACATTGAAAAGAATAAACCTTGCTTAATCATAAAAATTCTATTTCATGTAAAATATAGTATAATATATTTCATTTTTGAAATTAAAATTTATGGCTCTATTACTAAATTTTAAAAGATTATCTCCCTTTCCTTAAAAAAGAAATTTAAATAATAAATATTAAGTAATAAGGAATTGTTTTACAAACGTTATTACAATAAACGTAACAATTATTGATAAATAATATATTACCAGTGTCGTCTTTAGAGGTTTGTAAAATACAGTATGGTTTGCATTTTAGAAATAATTTATAAAATAAATTACATTTCCTTTCAATAATAGCTTCTAGTAATTGGCATTCAATTTCCCCAATAATAGGTTTATTTGTCATAAATGTCTGTAATTGTGATAAAATGTGCGAACATTCGAGTCTTTGTCTCCAATCTGTTGAACCGTTTTTGCGATACTTATTAACACTCATTGACACCAATAATGCACTCATTTTAGTCATCAATTCATTCATATCTGTACTATATTTTGCAATTTGATTAATCCTATAATAAAAAGTTGTTATAATATATAATTTTTGTTTATGTTTTATAACATATAGTTTTTCGAAAATATAACATACTTTCCATCCATAATATCGTAGGAATCGAAACCAAATATTTGTGAACCAATTAGGGATACACTGTAGATATCTATCAAATGATTGTATTCATTAGTCTGGGCTTCCGGTGCCTGATATGATATATTCCCGACATCTGTAGTGTGTTTTGTTTTTGATGCTCGATACCAGTCAATACTATCGACCTCTTTAGCCAAACCAAAGTCACATAACTTTATGCGTCCGTCCATTGAAATCAACACAATGAGTAGGTTAAGAAATTCACTTCATTTGCTTGATCCAATAGAAACATATTTTTTGATAAATAAATTTCTTAACTCATTAATCTGACTCCAATTATGTGTCATGCT